TAAATGACTACCATTAACAACTGCAACACCAATGGAATTGCTGGTGAGTTGCCGGCCTTTTAAAAAGGAGTAAGCTCTTTTCTTGAAGATCCCTAAGCCGTATCGGTCCGGAAAAATCGCCGGGGGTAAGCTATTCCACAGAAAGGTAGTACGCGAAAAAAAAACTCCTAGTGAAACATACAGTGGTGGACTGCTAAGCACCAAAATGGTGTGAATAGTATCGAGAGTTTTGCCGAGATGCACGTTCGTGAAATTTGGCGGCTGGGATTAATCCGAACAATTCCTCAGAGAACCCCGTGGTAAATGCGTACGAAAATGCAAAGGGATGCAAAATCTCTTCGTAGCGCCAGTGAATCGAGCCAATCGGAAAGGACTCCGTTGTCGACGATTCAAGGCGCTCTGCGCTGGATGCGGTCAAGTAGAAGAAGCTAGCACTGGGGAGCCTCAGCCCAGAGATGGGAACAGTATTCCATGTAAGGCCGAACCTGCACCTTGTAAAGTAGCAGGCGGTGTGCTGGTATGAGATACTGTCCCGCTCTGCTGAAACGCCAAGCTTTTTAGGGGCCAATTTGGCCTTCTCTTCCAAGTAACCACGAAACGGAATCCCCCCAATTGTGCGGAGTATGTGTGCTCCGGAGTTGGCACCGGTCCTAACGCGTCTTTTCCGGTACTATACATATACACGATTCCTAAAAAAGGCGACCTCTCAGACCCGTCTAACTACAGGCCTATCGCCATCACCTCCTTGTTCTCCAAAATAATGGAATCCATTATTAACTGCCAGCTCATGCAGTACCTTGAGGATCACCAGCTGATTAGTGATCACCAATACGGTTTTCATCGGGGTCGATCAGCTGGTGATCTTCTGGTCTACCTGACCCATAGATGGGCGGAGGCAGTAGAGTCCAAGGGGGAGGCGTTGGCGGTCAGCTTGGAAATTGCGAAGGCTTTCGATCGGGTTTGGCACAAAGCGCTTCTTTCGAAGCAAAAGGGTTCTTTTTAGCGGTAAACGCGCAAACTTATGTCTTCTGAGGATTAAACTGGACTAGATTTAGTCGCCCCCAATCCGAGACTTTGTTCAGCAAAGACTCAACTTCAGACACAAATTTGTTCTGGTACTCGGCGACGTTTTTCCGAAAAATATTGTCATGGCCGGTGCACAGAGCATCACCAGTGCTGTCATCCGCATAGCAATGAATGTTACCAGCTAGCAACATATCATTGATATGCAGAAGAAACAGCGTTGGTGATAGCACACAGCCTTGTGGAACACCAGCGTTAATAGGCTTGTAGTCGGAGCAAGCACCGTCTACAATAACCTTGATGCTCCGATCTGCAAGGAAGCTGGTGATCCAATTGCACAATTTCTCGGAAAGCCCATAGGAAGGGAGCTTCAAAAGAAGAGCTTTGTGACAAACCCGATCGAAGGCCTTTGCAATGTCCAAACTAACGGCCAATGCCTTTCCTTTGGAATCAATTGTCTCCGCCCATCTATGAGTCATGTAGACCAGAAGATCACCAGCTGATCGATACCGACGCAAACCGTATCGGAGGTCAGGTACCGCATGAGCTGGCAGTTTATAATGAATTCCATTATTTTGGAGAACAAGGAGGCCATGGCGATAGGCCTGTAGTTAGACGGGTCTGAGAGGTCGCCTTTTTTAGGAATCGTGTGGACAAAAGCAGTCTTTTATGATTTCGTGACTACACCTAGAGAGTAGGAGTACCGGAAAAGACGTGTTAGAACCGTTGCCAGCTCCAGAGCGTACGTCCTCAGCACAATTGGGGGGATTCCGCACGTCCGGCATGGAGCAGTCACACCGCGGGATCGTCGGCGGTGTGTTCCCCTCGTCATCGAGAGTCAAGTTGGACGCAAAGAAAGAGCCCAGCAGATCGACTTTCTCGTTTGCGGCATGGGCCATTAAGTCGTCTTCCCTGTGCAGAGGTGGAAGAGATGGCTGACAGAAGTTCCCTTGGACAGCCTTGGCGAGAGACCAGGATGCACGGGTTCCCGAAGGAAGGCTAACTAGTTTCTCGCCGACTCTGCCTATGTGCTCTGACTTTGACCTGGCAATGACTCTTTTGAAGGACATGGAGGCGGAATCATACTTCTTTTTAAGGGCGCTAGTGTTTACATCCCGAGACGTTGATGCGTCAGCCCAGGCCCGGTAGCACTCCTGCTTGTAGCGTGATGCTATTTTACAGGAGCAACTTAACCATGGCTGAGATCTGCCTCCGATGGGCACCACAGAGGAAGGAATAAAAAGTTCCATACCCTGAAGTACCACATCAGCAACAGAATTACCAACAACGTTGGGATCATTCGGCGAGAAGCAAACCCGCCCCCAAGGATAGGATGCAAAGAAAGACCGCACTCAATCCCAATCGGCTGACCTATAGTGCCAAACACGGTGGCAACCTGCAGAAAGCAGGCACGATTTTAGCGTGAATGGTACCACACTCCGGACTAGACAATGGTCTGAGGAGCCAAGAGGGGCGTCGACGGAAACCTGATATCTGTCCGGATGAAAGGTCAGCAGAAGGTGTAGCAGGGAAGGTGCATGATCCTCCATGTCTGGAATCCGCGAAGGCGTAGTAACCAGTTGTGTCAGACCATATGCCAAGGCAAAATCATGACCAGATCTCCCCGCATGATCGGTTAAACTCGAACTGAGCCATTCGGCGTGGTGGGCGTTAAAATCACCAAGGATCACGATCTCTGCGGACGGGACCTGTTGTAGAAAGGAATCTGTAGCCATTAGGATGTGGTCGATGAGTCGGTCTATTTCTGGACCTATAGAGGCACCCGTAGACGCGGGGATGGTCGTCGCTGTCTACGCGTAGCCAAAGAGTGGACATTTCCAAACCTTCAAGATTTCCGAGGCGTCGAGAACAGATGGGTAGGAGAGGTACGAAGTATCAGCCGAAGAGGACACCTGCGTCTCGGTCACAAAGAGCAAGGTCGACCGGCTTCGCCGTCTCGAGATAGTAATGGACAGCGTTTAGTTTCGAGTGAAGTCCCCTGATGTTGCAGAAATTCACGGATAGCGTTGCAGGGGTTGCCTTGGTTTGTTGCTCAGTTAGGCCCGAACAGTTATTGTTTTGAGCGGAATTTCCCCCCCCCCCCCACAACTGTTTTTGCCACAAGCAGAAAATAGCTGCAACATAGCTGTACCATATACACAGAATTTGATCTGATGTGCAATAAGAAGTAAACTGATTGAAATTTTTTCAATAGCGATTTTATTTACAGATCCTTAGACAACTTACATGGTTCATATTGCCAGCTATGATTACGTTTCTGATGTCAGGACGTGCATTTTATTCTAATACTACGCAGAATGTGCTGGTGAGAGCAATTTATGGGTCTATGCATCGTGCAACCATGGGTTGGTTGGCGGCACTCTCGATTGTGAGTGTAGTCTTCAGATTAAATGGTAAATGTTAACATCCTTCTCTACATGTTCTTTTATATAAAACTGAGGTAACAAACGAACTTACAATGCACCTGATGGTAAATGGCTGCTGCAGTCCATAGACACATGTAGCCAACTTCTAAGGTCTAAGGTCTGAGGTCTAAGATGGAAGCTTGTTATTATCCATTCCATTCCATTACAGCCTAAAACAGTTTACTGATGGCCTACCCCTTAGATTGCCTGAGTTCTCTTCCAGTTTCCGTCTGGCACCTCTTCCGACACACGCGGGCAATAAATTTAAACTGATCATTATTCACTGCATTTAAAATAATAATTTAAACCCTATATATGGTATCAAAATGTCTATACTTTTACTCCAGATATTATTTGCAAGATTCTGGAATGGCGCGGCTGGGCAATATTTAACAGGCTGTCTTACAGTTTGTTCCTTGTACATATGATATTCATTCAACTGCTGCTCGGACTTAGGGAACAGATCGTAAAAATCTCCTATTTTTATTGGGTAAGTAAATTATTTTAACAGATTATTTATTTATGTACACACAAGAAGATACAAAAACAATCATATACATATTTGATTTTAAATCACTTGTAGGTTTTATAACAGGGCATTGACTATCAAGGTTTTTTTTTTATAGAATAAGGGTGACAAACGAGCACGCAGTCCACCTGATGGTAATTGGTTGCTGTGGGCCATAGACATCTACATCTATCTTCGTTTGCGAATCAAAATGCAGATGCGTTGTCACCCGTGAGGACTAAACTAAAATGGAATGCCTCTTTTCCAGTAAAATCGGTCTCCGGTTCTCTACACTCACCATATGAAACACAGCAGCATTAAGCTACTATTTTACGCTGGTATTCTGAGAGAGCGTGGTCCTTCCCCGGTTGAGCCGACCCATTCGTGCTAACAACTATACTATTAATATAGCTGCAGCATGGCTCTACCACGTTGAAAAAAAAGGTATTTTAATTTCTTCTACTTTTAGGAAAATCCGTAGTTTGGTTTACCAATTTCTAATCTAATTATCTCCATACGCTAATAAACGAAGATTTAGATGCCTATGAGCCACAGCAACCACTTACCATCAGGTGGGATGTATGCTCGTTTATCACCCTTATTCTGTAAAAGAAATACAGGGTTATTTTGCAATAACCGGCCTGCAGAGAGGCTTCAAAATAAGTAATATAAGCAAATGGTGAAGAAAAATGTATAAAAAAAAATCCTCAAACATTCTGCCCTGTAGAACTTATATAGTATAATATTCACAATACGTATCACTGGCTCACTATCACACCAAGTCTCCCTAGGTACACGTCCTACCTCGGTGCGCTCCACAACGCAACTCCCCGCCGCAACTCCGTGCAACCACCGAGTAACGTGCTACCCCCACTACTTGTGTATATGAGACAGTGTATTGAATCTATTAAATAGATACAAACACTACATCCCTTCCTTATGAATGAATTTTAATCAAATGAAATATAGTTTTAAACCGAGGTAATTTTTTAAATTTATTAACTTATTTTTCAAATCAATACAAAATCAATAAGTAATTAAACTTAATTTGCCTCGTTATAATCTTTACTTTCGAGACCTCCCGAAGATGATGTGGTCTCGTCCCGGATAGAGTTCCAGCTTCCCTCTATTTTCTTTAAATGTATAACGTTTCTCCGTAATCTTTGTCCTGTCTCTTCATTTCTCACAGTGATATCACCACCTACCGATTTCTCCACAACGTGCGGGGTAGGGCTAAAATTTGCAGTTAATTTGTTTGTTCTTTCCATGTTTTTTAAATAAACCTTATCTCCTTCTATAAATTCTGAATCTTTTGCTCTTCTCTTCCGGTCTCCATATTCTTTACCCTTTTCTTTTTGTAGTTTATCCCGATCCCTAATTTCTGAATAGTCTTCTTTACTATTCATATTTTTTAACATAGGTATTTTATCTCTCTTTTGACGATTAAAGAAAAGTTCCGATGGTGATTTCCCTGTTACTGAATGTGGAGTAGAGTTATACATCATCAGATATTCATACAGTGTCTCCTTCAAGTCTTTTTTTTCAAGTTGACTGATTCTAAGTCGTTTTAATATGTCACGATTTTGGCGCTCTACTTCTCCATTCATCTGGGGCCAATACGGTATTGAATTTAACAGTTTAATATCACACTCAGCACAGAAGTTTTTAAATTCTTCACTTATAAATTGCCGCTCATTATCCGCACTAATCGAAACTGGGTAACCAAGGCGACTAAATATCTCTTTTAGATATTTTATAATTTGTGCACTGTTGATGGTTTTAGTTATCTTGATTTCTTTGTAACGGCTGTAATAGTCAATTACTACCAAAAGATAATCGTTAGTTGGTAGTGGTCCCAATAAATCCATCGCGATATCAACCCACGGTTCTGCTGGAAGTTCCCGCCGTTTCATGGGTACAGGTAGATTTGGCAGTCCCACAAGAGTGCACCCTTTGCAACTCTTGACCAGCATTTCGACATCTTTATCAATCTTTGGCCACCAGACTTTAGCTCTTAAACGTTCCTTCATAGACACGATTCCAGGGTGACCTTCGTGGGCTGCTACTAATACTTGTTTTCTTAATTTATTTGGAATTACAATTTTATTTCCTCTCAAGAGGATGTTGTCATAAAAACAAAGTTCATCTTCAAAAATTTTAAAGGTTTTGACTGACTCGTCCCACTGATTTTTATAGAGACCATTTTTTACGTTTGTTATTTCTAAATCACTTCCAGATTGTAAAATTATATCTCGCATAGAAATAGCATGCGGTTTTGCTAATTGTACTATTTGACATATATGGTCGTCCCGTATAGGTTGTACATTTGTTTCTTTGCATAGTCGTGATAGTGGATCTGCAATGTTTGTATTTCCTGGCTTATATTTTATCTTATATCTATAGGCCTGTAATTTCTAAACCCATCTTTCAACGCGAGCACACGGCTTTGACTTGGGACTAAATAGGAATTCCAATGGCTTATAGTCAGTAATTAAATCGAATTCTTTCCCAAAAAGAAACGTGTTAAAATGCTCGACAGCCCAAACAAGAGCAAGGGCTTCCTTCTCTGTTTGGCTGTATTTCCTTTCACAATCTGTTAATGTCCGATTTCCATAGCCAATGATTCTGGGGCCCCTTTCATCAATTTGTACCAAAACAGCTCCTAATCCCACAGGGCTTGCATCCGCTATAACTTGGGTCTTGTCTTTGACGTCATAATATCCTAATGTTTCTATTTTTGTTAATTTCTCTAAGAGACACTTAAACGCATGATCCTGTTTCTTTGTCCAGTATTTTTCTATGTTAGCCTTTTTTCCTAATTTTATCCTAAGTAATTCTCTTAACGGTTCATTAATTGTAGCTAGTTTAGGAATCCATTTATTTATGTAATTTACTAATCCAAGAAAACTTTGTAACTCTTCAATTGTGTTTGGTACTCTAAATTCTTGTATGCTTTTGATATATTTAGGTAGAGGTGTTACCCCTTCTGGTGTTAATTCGTGTCCTAGAAATTTGACCTTTTGCACTTTATATAAACATTTATCTTTATTGAGCAGGACATTATTTTCATTTAAAACATCCAATACTTGTGATAGTCGCAAATCATGTTCTTCTCCACTGCTGCCCCATATTAAAATATCGTCAATGAAATTGATTACCCCTTCACATTTGATTATCATTTTTTCCAAGATTTTTTGGAACAGCTCTGGTGCACATGAAACTCCAAACATAAGTCTTTTATATCTGTAAAGTCCACTAGAAGTTACAAAAGTTGTTAAATATCTGGAGTTAGGATGCAGCTCAACTTGATGGAAAGCATTTTTATATCTAGTTTGGAAAAATACTTTGCTTTTCTTATTTTCGGCAGCAAGTGGTCCATACTAGGCAATGGGTGATTTTCTCTGAGAATTGCTGTATTAGCTCGCCTCATATCGACACAGAGACGTATATCTCCATTATCTTTTAATATTGGTACAATAGGCGATACCCATAAAGATGGTTCATCTACTTCTTCAATAATATCGGCATCTAATAACTCCTTTATCTTCCTTTTTATATTTTCCTCGATAGGAATAGGTATTCTACGATAGGGCTGTATTACCGGTTTTATGGATTTATTTATCGGAATCTCCACTAAAATACCTTTAAACTTTGGAAACTGCTTGCTTAGTTCCTGGTCAACGTGGTTAATACTAACGCCTACTTTTAAAACTCCTAATCGTATCGCTGAATCCTTTCCTAACAAATTCCTGGATCCGTTTTTTATGACATAAATAGAGCAGGGGTCAGTTTTTCCATTCGTTTTAATTTCGGTTTCGAACGAAGCTTTTACATCTAAAGGTATACTACTGCCATAGGCTAGTAATATTTTATTTGGTTTCTTAGTTTGATTTTTACAACTAACTTTATGTATTTTCAAATATTCCCATGCTTTATCCGTTATTAAATTTGATTTACACCCTGAGTCGATCAGCATATGAAGCTCGACGCCACCTACATCACACTTTATGGTTGCATCGTCATTTACATTAAAGATATACTGAGAATCATCGTCTTCTAAAGTATTGACTGAAGAGTCCTTACGGGGCCTTTTATTTCTATTATTCTTGCTCGTGTTCTATTTTCCTTTTAAATCTATTTAACTTTGTTTTACAGCATCTTTGATAGTGTCCCACTTTTCCACACCCGTGACATTTTTTTTCTTTGGCTGGACATTTTGGGTCCTAAATATTGTGCGTTGCTTTTCCGCATCTTCCACACTTAAAATTTCCTGACCTCATTTCAGTTTTTCCCCATTTCGAAGTATCCTTGCTCTTACTCGTGACTGAATTTATCTCGCTGTTCTTTTCTTTCCGTTCATAGCTTTCTAGTTGATGATTTACTGCCTCTAATGTTTTTGCTTCTATAACTACCTTGTCTAATGTCACATCATCCCCCATCGTTAAAATCTTTTTCCTGAGCTCTACCGATGCACATCTTTCTATTATTTGATCGATAATGTAGTCATCAGGCTTATCAAATTTGCATTTTTTAGCTTGATCTCTCAATTTTAAAAGAAACTTTTCAAAATTTTCACCGTCTTCTTGTTTAATCGAACGAAAAATATGTCTCTCATAAGTTTTATTTTGTTTAGGGAGGAAATAGTTATCGAGCTGTTTTAGGGCTAATTCAAAATTATCTACTCCCTCCTGCACTGCACTGGTATCTGGCAAGTTGTAAAATATATCCTGAAGCCCGGTTCCGCCTAACAATAACAAAGTTGCTCTCTTTTTTATTAGGCATTGTATATCGGCTGCTTAGAGATAAATCTTTAAAGACCTTTTCCATTTCTCCCATCGCAAGCCTACTGACGTGCTGTCTCCCTCGAGTTCTAATTTTTCCGATGACGGTAATAAATTTGACATTTCGAATCCTTGGCAACCGTTTTTCTCCTCGTCGCCACTTGTAGAACTTATATAGTATAATATTCACAATACGTATCACTGGCTCACTATCACACCAAGTCTCCCTAGGTACACGTCCTACCTCGGTGCGCTCCACAACGCAACTCCCCGCCGCAACTCCGTGCAACCACCGAGTAACGTGCTACCCCCACTACTTGTGTATATGAGACAGTGTATTGAATCTATTAAATAGATACAAACACTACATGCCCTATTTATCTTTTAAATTCGAAATGCTTGGTATAATGCATTATTGTAACTGATTTTACAAGATGTAGGCAAAAACATTGTTGCCCATAAATCACATTCAATTTTGGGGTAATTTCAAATAAAAGTACAAGCCTTATTTACTCGTATTTTCAAAAATGCAATAACATACATACATACATATAATCACGCCTCTTTCCCGTAGGGGTAGGCAGAGACCACTTCTTTCCACTTGCTACGATCCTTACATACTTGTTTTGCTTCGTCCACTTTCATTATTCCCTTCATACATGCTCTACGGTTTAGGGTACTCTTGACCTGGCCTTTTTTCAAGACGTCCCTGATTTGGTCTAGAAATGTCCGCCTAGGTCTACCCCTTCCAACACTTTCATTCACACTCGCCTTATACACTTTTTTTCGTCAATCGTTCTTCATTCATTCTCTCGACATCGACATGGCCAAACCATCTCAGCATACCTTTCTCAATTTTTGTCACTACATCTTCTTTCAGACTAAATGCAATAGCGGTATATCATTATTTATATATTTGAACTTAAGTTTAAAATTTGGCTACCTACTGTTTGAAAAAGAACCCTGTACATAAAAATCAATGGCTGTCCGTTAGTTTCGCAAAAATTTGAAAATAGCTAAACCGATTTTGATACATTTTTTGTGTGTTTGAGTGGGTCACTGGATGATCTAAACGATTCACCATTGGACCCGGTAGATGGCGCTGTTGTCGAAATACAGAAATCACCCGTGCGAAGCCAGGGCGGATCGCTAGTGTAATATAAAATAACACTAACATTTCAGAAACAATTTTATAAAAATAAAAAAAAAATAAAAATAAAAAACATTAACCTCTACACTTTTCTAATAAATTGACTGCCCCCCACTATGAAATCTATGAAATATTTCACCTGATTCTTAAATGGTGCCGGCCTGGTAGCAGAAAAATTCGTGGACCTCCTTTGGACGTGGTGGACGCCCTCATTAACATACATAAGACGTAACATGTACGTATATACGGACGTACAGGTCACCTTTGACGCTGTTGCTTTCGTTTGTTTTGTTGCTTTCGTTTTTTCGTTGTTGTTTTCGCGTCTATCTCAAGCCGTATAATTTTTATGACATTTCTCATTGTCGCCTTTTACGCATATAGCAACACGGGCCACCGGCGGACCTGACGGGAGTAGCCATAGCGTTTTTTTGCCGATACAGAACTGTCTGTGATTATTAAATAAAATAAGATGAAAGGTCACGAAAAGCTATACACCTATAAGATTTAATGCAAAAACCTACATAAATACACCTACTCGCTTCGGTAGTGCGACGAACACTGAGCGCGTTCCGTACGGAATTTACGAATGTGTGTTGCGACCAGTTGCGACTCATACAAAATCAATGGAAGACTTGCGTTCGGAGCGGCTTTTTTCCGTTCGGGATTCCGAACGCAAAGGCGGTCATAGGCTTGCCACATACATATGGAATTCCGTTTCTGGATTCCGTTTCGGAATTTCGAACGGGTCGGCCACACACATACGGAATCCCGTTTTGGCCGCAAAATTTCGAACGGAAAACTACCCTACGTGTGTGACGGGTCATAGATTTTATATGGAGTTGTTGCGTTCAGAATTCCGAATGGGAATATCGAAACGGAATCCCGAAACGGAATTCCGTATGTATGTGGCCGGCCATATGGAATCTGGAATCGGAGAAATTCCGTAGGGAAAATTACGGTTCGTCTGCGGCGGGTCCTTGATTTTATATGGACTTGCTGCGTCCGGAATCCCGAATCGAAATACGAAACGGAATCCCGAAACGGAATTCCGTATGTATGTGACCGGCCTTATGAGAAGTAAATAGCAATTATGTGAAAAAAATTACTTATACTCGTACATATATTAAAGGTAACGCTATATTTTTAAATTTGAGCATAAAACTAAACAGTTCGGCATTTTTGTAGGACGTCGATTCAGCTGCGCAACTATATTTTATTTATTTAATATGTTTAAGAAAAAAAAGCAATATAAATATACAAATATCACATTACCCGTTACGGGTTTATCTGGATGTTAAGACACTTTTGAGCATTCTGTTGACATTAG